AAGATACCGTTATAGAAAAAAGACACGTTATAGAAAATTAAACACCAACGAAACCAGCTACGAAGCCAGCTTCTTCGACGGCTTGCATGGACGGCGACACGGACGCCGCCCTTTCCGACTCCTCCACCACGACAGCATCATCAGCGACCCAGTCGAAGGTCAAGATCTACCTCAAGGGTAGATCTTGTTCCGCCGCCGACGCGAAAGCGGGGAAAAAGCGAGTTCGTCGCGTTTTCCTCCACGACGACTCGGTCCCAGCCGTGAAGACGACGCCCACGACGACACCCACGGCGACGACGCCCACGACGACACCCACGGCGACGAGGCCCACGACGGAGACGACGCCCACGACGGAGACGGCGCCCACGACGGAGACGGCGCCCACGACGGAGACGGCGCCCACGACGGAGACGGCGCCCACGACGGAGACGACGCCCACTACGGAGACGACGCCCACTACGGAGACGACGCCCACTACGGAGACGACGCCCACTGCGGAGACGACGCCCACTACGGAGACGACGCCCACGGCGGAGACGACGACCACTACGGAGAAGATGCCCACCGACCAGTCGACAAGCGACAGCGAAGCCGGTGCGTTTGTGCGGATCCGCACAACCGCCCCAGCCGCCGCCCCCGCTCACGATGATCGGGACACGATCATCGAGCGTCTCGAACAGCGGTGCGAGCGACAGGAGGCACAGATATCTCGGCTTATCGCTGAGATTAGCCGCCTTAACGCTAAGCTGGAGCTATTGCTGCCCCCGGCGCCCGGCACCATGCCGCCGCCTCCACCGCCGTCAGACAAGAAGAAGGCCAAATCGAAGAAGACGGCGCCCAAGGCTGCCGTTCGGTCCGCTGCCCCCACCACACCGGCAGTGGACGTCATCGTCGACGCCCCGGCGGTCCAGGTGCCCAGGCCGGCAGTCCAGGTGCCTAAACCGGCAGTCCAGGTGCCCACGCCGGCCGTCCAGGTGCCTGTGCCGGCCCCGACCACCCAGACCGCCTCCACCGACGACGAGGGCGAGTTTGTGCTGCCAGCACATGCGGTTAAGCGCGACCGCAAAAAGGCGGATAGGGCCGAAAAAGCCGCCGCCACTGCTGCAGCCGCCTCCACCACCGACGACCTGCCAGAACTGGACGATTCCGCTCTGCGCCCACGCCCACCACGTGTCAGCCGTGACACCGACGTCCCGCCGGCATTCCTGCTGCGGGACAAGAGCAAATACCTCCAGGTACTTACGTACCTGGAGATAAATAAAATCAGGTTCAGCACCGCCCGCTCCGGCCGGGCAGGCATATGGTTCAACCTGAAGACCGTCAAGGACTTCAGGGGGGTCACGAAGCAGCTCGCTGAGCAAGGCTTCGACATCGTCACCACCATGCTGGAGCATGAACGGCCCATCCGGACCGTTCTCTTCGGCATTGGCCCCGAACTGCCGGAGAACGTAATCAAAGCGGAGCTCGCTGCAATGGGGTACGAGGTGGTGTACTTCCGCCGCCTGCGTTCCAATGACGGCAACGATCGCAGCGAGACCAACATCTCCATCGCGCGATCACCCAACAGCGAGAGCATCTTCACGGTGGAGAGGATCCGCGGGCTAAGGTGCAAATTCGAGCACAAACGCCCCGACCCCCACGGCTCGCTCTGCGGGCGATGCCAGAAGCCTGGACACTCGGCCCGCTTCTGTGCTCGCCCGTTCGTCTGCGGTTTTTGCGCTGGTGCGCATCACACCGACGAATGCGCACACAAGGAGGACCGCGCACACCGCAGATGCGCAAATTGTGGCGGAGCGCACCCGGCGTTCGTCCACAATTGCCCGGCTCGTGCCCAGCACGCAGCCGCCTCCGCCACCAACGGCACATCCCAGGCTGCATTCCAGCACGACGCCAGCCGTTTCCCGGGGCTCCGGCCCGCTGTTCGCACAGCGGCGTCGGCGCTGCCGCCACCGGCACCAGCATCGCTGACCACCCCGCTCGCCCAGGCCCACAGCGTCCCCACGCTGTCCTATGGTGTAGCGACAGCGCGCCCGCCGCCTCCAATCGCAGCCAGCATCCAGGACTCGCTGCTCCAAGCGATGCAGGGGATGATGCCCGTATTTGCGAACATGCTACTGCAAGCAGCCGCTTCAATCAATGCCGGCCTTCCGCGCCAGGCAAACTCCAATCCTGCGCCGCCAGCTCCAACGCAGTAAGGCGCCCATTCTTCGGCTTCGGCCACTACTCCACTCGTTTCGTCTCATCGCCCGATAACCATGGCTAGGGATCTACGCATCGTCACATGGAATGCGAATGGCGTCCGTCTGCACATCCCAGAGCTAGAAATATTCCTAGAGAGCCACAACATTGACGTTGCGTGCATCACCGAGACACATTTATCGGCTTACCATTCGTTCCACCTGCAAAACTACGTTGTAGTCCGTCGCGACAGACCCAGTGCACACTGTGCCGGCGGGGTAGCTGTGTGCATCCGCAGAAGCATAAACTTCCTTCAAGTTGGGCCCGACACCGGCAACGTCGAGTCCATTGGCATCAGGCTCACCGACACCCCGCTCCAGGTTTTTGCGGCGTATTGCCCGCCAAGGCAAAGCCTAGGCCACAAGATTTGGGAAGTCTTCAACCAGCCAAATCGCGTCCCCGTCATCGTCGCCGGCGATTTCAATGCCAAAGACGGGGCGTGGAACTGCGTCGGGAGTAACAAGAACGGTCGCCGTCTTCGCAGAGCGACCGTCCAACACAACATCGCGGTTTATGCTCCGGACATTCCTACGCACTACCCCGTCAACCCTCGGTACCGGCCCGACATACTCGACATCTTCATCACCGCCAGAGTCAATGTACACTCCGTCAAATCGCGTCCGACCCGTCCAACCACCGCCCGTTGTTATGGAGATCCTGACGGGGTTGCGGCAACTTCCGGCGCGAAGTCGACCGTAGACCGGGACGCCGGCCCAGTATCTAATGGGGAAACTCCCGTGTGCCCCAGCATCACCCAGCGTCGACACGATTCCGCACAGCCAGTCTCACCACCGAACGAAATCGCCCGCAAACAACCAAGATCCGAACAATCCGCCCCGACCATATCGTCTTCCTGACGACGCATCTTATACGTCGCTGAATCGGCTCGAAGTGATGTGAACGCATCGCGCAGACAGCCACCCGCTTAACACCCCTCTGCAACAAGAGTCGGGGATTGCGAACTGCTTCGTTAAACGCGAGGCGTTCTGGTGCCGAGGTTGAAGAAAATCCCAGTGAGCAGCAGTTCCGCGGCACCGGAAATTCGCCGGTGGCCTCAACTGCCCTCGCTCCGCGCGTCGACCGAAGGTTCCACACGGACGGGAAAAGCGTCGAAGTTTTGCGGAATCGATGCACCTCAAAGTTAAATTCAACGCACTGCAAGCAATAAGTAGGCCACCGCAAAGTGAAACAATTCGTGTAACCCGTTTCCCCTCGCCGCCCCTTCGCAGTTCAATCTCGCCTCGATTTCGAGCCTCATCCGCACTGAAGATCCAGTGCCTCTGCAGCGACGGTGTTTAAACAAGAGCGAAAACTCTGCCAAAGAGACACCGGTTACATTCGGGTAACATATCGTCAACGGAATGCTGCGACTCGGCTACTTCCCGACGCGTGGAAAGAAGTCAGTCATCTGCATCCCGGAAACATAAACGCCCAATAATACGGACAGCTTCGCCCGACGTCGTTTACCTGCAATTTCCAAACTCAGTGAGTGGTGCGTCATCCTCACACGATGCGCACAACATCATCCAGCACGACCAGTGTGGCTTCAGAAAGTGAGCACGGTACCCTTCGCTACACCAGCTGCCCGAAAAATCAACCGCCGCCATCATCACACCGCCAATATACTGCTCGACGTGTCCGCGGTGGCGTCGCATCGAGCGGCGCGCACGAGGCCCGCCTACAAAGCTCGTACCTGCAACTGAATTTTTCCGAATTATTTAATGCCTCGGCTACCTTTTCTCAGCAAACGTCGTTTCGTACGCAAAGCAGAACCCCTACCAAAAGTCGATCAGTGCCGCAAACCTCAGGGCTCGAAACTATCTCGTCCTTTTCAACGTGTACTGCGCGGACATTCCGACCACAGAGCCAAAGTCCTGACCGCCTTCTACGCTTTAGGACACGTTTCCCTTATTTCTTCTACCACGCCGGGAAAACCGTGCGCAGCCAAGTAGAGCCCCGCCCAGTTTGAACTGGAAATTTCACAGTAAATTTCCGCATCAACGAGGCAAGTCCGGCAATTTTCCCGCAGGCTCAGCTACCAACGCCGCGCCTGGCACCCGCCAAACTTGAAGCACATTCCATGTTCCGCGTCTCCGGACCGATATTTTCGCTTTCTAGCCCTGGCAATATCAAGGTACGCGTTGCAGAAAGCTTCTCCTGCAAAAGCCGCCCGCGCAGCTTATTACATTATTCCGATGTCAACTGCGTTACTAAGTTAAGTATAACTTTCACTGCAGCTCGTCGCGCGTACCACCCGCCGCATTCTGGCATCTGGGCTCAGCTGAACCACTGTATGGCCAGCTCTGGGTAGCTCCGTAACTCGTAGGAAAGTCTTTTCTATATGGCACCCGCCCGATGACGATTCGCGGGTCGGCTGGCAATCCAACAACACCCCGCTGCACTGAACCCTTCCAATCAACGCACAACCAGTTTACAGCGTCAACCGGCGTATGCATTACGATACCGTCATCCCGTGCCGTTTACCCAAATTAAGCGCGCACCCGCAACATGTGCGACTCACGTGACGTATTCTGTAACTCTTCACCTTCACTGTGCGTTCCCGCCAGCAACCACCATGCCCCGCCCCAGAAATCGTTTAAGATCGCCCCTGGTAGCAATACCTAGAGCATTTCGCTGGTTACGGTTCTGGGTTCAGTTCATCGGGCAACCTCCGAGGTGTTTTTGAAGTGGGCCGGCATGTCGCCTCTGCGAGGCCTGAAAACCCCACACGCTGGAGTCACGATCCGCCAGCCGTCTGTTGCCGCGATTTTAACAACCCCAACAAAAAATAAATGTAAAATATGCCGCAGGTCGCCCTGACCTGCTGATCGAAACCCCACCGCGCATCAGAACTGCCTTCCCGCCCGCCCTGATGAGATAATCAACGCAAACACTTTAATAAAACAACCTCAAGAAACGTTTTTTAAAAACAAATAAACCAACCGAGCTACTCAACACCCCATGGCTTGTGCAAATCTACGATAACACTTCCTACGAAGACAGAAAACCATGCCAATATGCTTTCCACCAACAGATACGCCCAGCCGATGCAGACGACGAAACAGATCCAATTTCGCGAGAATCGCAACCCCAGGATGATGACGACGAGCCATTCTGGGCAGCGTAATAACGCTGGCGCAGCTGAAAGTATAAACGAACCCCGCCGCGAAGAAAGGACCCGCCAACGCCTTACTGACGTCATGGGATAGACCAAACCGCCGCCAACACCGCAAAACCACAACACACGAATACACCGGTCAATTCCTCAGAAAATCCAGTACCAGGGATTGGCTACCATGCGCTGACGCGCCGTATTTTGGCAGGATCCGACATCAGCGAGAAAATGCAAATCGCACTGGCAGCCCCGCCGCGCCTGCTCTTGTTGAATTTGAAAAGCTGACAGGGTACGACCAGATGTAATTCCGCGCCACAATAAAAATCAGTCCGCGAGACGTTAATCGGCGTTTAAAGCGATGGCGCCAGCCACACCAGCCAAGCGTCGGACTCCTAATGTCTATCGAGGGGCACGCCAGGGGAGATAGCCGTATTCCTCCCATTCCAACAATACGACGCGATAGCGAGCGCAGATCCATGAAGGCTATAAAATGCAACCACAACATAAGCAAACATCATGTGCTTTGCGGACGATGCTGTACTTATCGCGCACAACGAAGACGACCCAACGAATAATGCTACATCGTTTTGAACACAACTGTTGTGAATATTTCTACCACGCAAAGATAATTTACCTGAAAAACTGTTCTGCATGGTACTTAACGAACCACCAAACCAGAGTTGAAGGCAAAGTCATAGAACAGTCACAGTTCACATTTGGGAATCCCCCAACTACTCGCTTTCTGGCGGACTTGTATCACGAAGTACCCAACAAACAATGTTTCGGATACCGAAAGTAATCCATACCGCGGAATGTTATCCAAACAAGCCCGCGGAAGAATATATGCCATAGAAGTCATCAATAATGACATACACCGGATGCACAGCGGTGACACCCTCAAGAGCTTGATACCCCGTATCGAATACCGCAAGATTAGAGAGGCGCGCAGCTTAAACAAATTAGAGACAATAGCTGGTCAGAATCACATCAGTAGGGTGGAGTACGCTAGAGTAAAGCACGCGACAAATCGCCATTTCGGGCGGCGTCGCTGGGAAGACCCAGGCATGTAGTAGATGTAATACAATGAAGAAAAAAACCGGCTATTGCCTACATAAGAGAAGAAGAAGAAGAAGAAGACAAACAATTTCACAGAAAATCACCAGCCACTAAGACGGTGCCAATCATATACTCACGGCACCAAACGGTACCACAGCAAAACCATAGGACTATAATAAATCAGTGCTAAAATTATTCGAGGGATTTAACCTCGAATATTTACGCACCGCAAAGCTGAGAAAACTAATATGTATACACAGTTCCATTCCTGTGAAGAGGAAGAATTAGTAAATTTATAAAACAACAACACCAGGTGTTCTTATGTAAAAACACTAAAAGCACACGCGTCGACCATATTTCCGCTAAAATTGAATCGCCGAAACAAACATTAACGACATAAAAACAAAATGCAACATCGATTTACAGGTATGAAGCATACAGCCGTCCTGGCCAAAGTCACCATGCGCCGCCGCCGCCGCAAGAGTTCGACATCGAACGAAAATTCGCCACAGCGCCCCAAGATGCGTGCGTAACCAAAACCACACCACACACCCAGGATCAGACAAGATCGGTAGAGGCCCCCCACAGTGCACCAACTGCAGCGGACCCCCATCCAGCCACCACAACGGATGCAGCTCACAAATTGTGGTATGTGAACGATAAAAATATTAAAATAGTAGACAAAATACCCAAATTCAATATTAACGAACACAATTTCCCCTTGCCGAAACCAAAACCAACGCAAAATCTCCCAAAACCCCCAAATAACCCCCCCTTGCCACACAACAGCACGAAAAACCCATACCAAGCATATATAAACATCCTAACCAAATTCGAAAAAATTAAACCTGAATTAGATAGCGCTCCAACGGAGGTGGAGAAATTAATTATTATCCTAAAACACTATGGCTCGTAAATCCACCCGTATTTTGAAACTAACTACCTGGAATGCATGTTCCCTTCACAATAAAATCCTTACGTTTCGACATTTCCTAGAAGAAAACAAAATTCATATTGCATGCGTACAAGAAGCCACAAAATCCGCCCAAATTCCACCAAAAATAGTAAATTATAACCTAATCCATAACAATAACTTAGCAATTTACATTAAAAAAGAAATCGATTTTGACAAACTACCTGACACCCAAAATTCCATTAGCATCCTAGTAGAAAATATCCAAATCACTAATTACTATAATCCGCCTAAAAACCCACCCAACATTAACGAATTAAATTCATTCTTCACAAACCCAAATTCCGTAGTATTAGGCGACTTTAACGCACGACATCCTACCTGGCACAACAATTTCACTAATCCGAACGGCAAAATATTAAATAACTACCTGAATCTCAACCCAAACTTAATCCTCTTATACCCTCAAAACTCATATTCCCATTACCCGCTTAATGGCAATAATCCATCCACAATAGATTTAATACTTACAAATTCCAAATATTATATTGAACCACCTGCAACACTTAACGACCTAGATTCCGACCATCTACCTGTAGTTTCTAGAATTCACCTAAAATCCACGATTAAACTAAACACACCTATTATTAGAACTACTAACTGGAAGAATTTCAAAAATAATTTAAAATCTCGATCCTTTAATTTGCCACTTAACAATACCAACCAAATCGACTTAGCTCTAGACAATATTACTAAATCTACGCTAATTGCATATTCCAAACACACTAAATTAAACCACACTACAACCCATAAGCTCCAATTACCAAACCACATCATTAACCTAATTAACACAAAAAATAAACTACGCAAAATTTCCCAGAAATATCAAATCCATTACGCACTAAAACCTCAAATTAACAAATTATCCCGTGAAATCAACGAAAACATTATTTCCCATTCAAATCTCCAATGGCAGAAAAAACTATCCAAAATCTCAAACCTCCAATCATCCTATAAATTAATTAAACAATTAAAATCCCCAACCCAAATAAACACACCTCTTCACACTACTAACGGCATAAAATTCCTAAAATCCGAAAAATCCAATGCATTAGCCGATGAATTCGCTAAAGTTTCTAACCTCACAAATCACTTGCATGACAATTCCACTCATAAATTAATAAAATCCACAATCAAAAATTTTATTAATCAACCATCCATTGAAATTACCACCCCAATCACAAATTTCCATACAATCAAATCACTAATCAAAAAATTACCTAACAAAAAATCTCCCGGAAAAGACAAAATTACTAATGAAATGATTAAAAATTTCCCGAACAACATAATATCCCATTTAACTAATATTTACAATGCATGCTATAAATTTTCTTATTTTCCAACCCAATTTAAACACTCGATAATTATACCAATTCCCAAACCTAATAAAAATCCACTTTTTCCGCAAAATTATAGACCCATTAGTTTAATCTCCATGCTAGGCAAACTAAACGAAAAAATTATAAACTCCGAACTTACTAAACACACCCTTAATCACAAAATTCTACCTGATACCCAATTTGGATTCCGTAAACATCATTTTAAGTTTTACTATGTAAGTAATTTTAAGTTGTATTGTTTTATTTATTGTTAATATTTATTAATGTTTTCCGAAAAAAGTGTCGACTCTCTGAGCTCGAGCGCCAGCACCAAGTCGAGCGATAGAGAGTTCGCTAAGATTATAGAGAAAGATTACTGAGAAAGATTATTGAAAAATACCATCAACAAAACCAGCTACGAAGACAGCGTCTTCGGCGGTTTGCATGGACGGCGACACGGACGCCGCCCTCTCCAACTCCTCCACACAACGACAGCATCATCTGCGACCACGACCCAGTCGAAGGTCAAGATCTACCTCAAGGGTAGATCTTGTTCCGCCGCCGAGTCCAAAGCGGGGAAAAAGCGAGTCCGTCGGGTTTTTCTCCACGACGACTGGAGCCAGCCGTGAGGACGACGCCCACGGAGACCACGACTCCCACGGAGACGACACCCACGAGGACGACGCCCACGGAGACCACGACTCCCACGGAGACGACACCCACGAGGACGACGCCCACGGAGACCACGACTCCCACGGAGACGACACCCACGGAGACGACACCCACGGAGACGACACCCACGGAGACGATACCCACGGAGACGACACCCACGGAGACGATACCCACGGAGACGATACCCACGGAGACGACACCCGCGGAGACGACACCCACGACGGAGATGACTCCCACGGTGAAGAAGATGCCCACCGACAAACCGACAAGAGACAGCGAAGCCGGTGCGTTTGTGCGGATCCGCTCAACCGCCCCAGCCGCCGCCCCCGCTCACGCTTGATCAGAATGCGATCATTGAGCGTCTCGAACGGCGGTGCGACCGCCAAGCGGGCTCAGATATCTCAGCTTATCGCTGAGATTAGCCGCCTGAATGCAAAGCTGGAGCAATTGCTGCCCCGGCGCCCGGCACGTGCGATTGCGTTCGCGTTATTATTGCGTTTATGCGCGCCAGCTCGGGCGCGCTGGCGCGCGGACGCACGATCGTTTCATCCGGCGGTCGGTGTGCGACTGAGAACAAATTTTGTGAAAAAAATTTTTTTTAAATAAAATAAATATAAATATATATTTTTATTTAATATAGTCGATTAAAATAAAAATGTGTTTGCATTTAACGTGTTTTAAATCGATGCGATTGTGTTCGCGTTGTGCGCGCGTTGTGTGCGTTTATGCGCGCCCGGCACGGACGCGCTGGAGCTCGGACGCGTCCGTTCGCGCTCCGGCGGTCGGTGTGCGACTGAGAACAAATTTTGTAAAAAAAAAAAATTTTTTAATAAAATAAATATAAATATATTACATTGTATAGTCGGTCAAAATAAAAATGTGCTTGCATTTAACGTGTTTAAATCGATGCGATTGCGTTCGCGTTATTGTGCGTTTATGCGCGCCCAGCTCGGACGCTGGCGCTGGACGCACGTCCGTTCGCTCCGGTGGCGGTCGGTGTGCGACTGAGAACAAATTTTGTGAAAAAAAATTTTTTAAATAAATAAATATAAATATATATTTTATTTAATATAGTCGATTCAAAATAAAAAATATTCTTTACATTTTAAACGTCAATTTTTCAGGAAATCGATGCGGTGCGTTCGCGTTGTGCGTTTATGCGCGCCCAGCTCGAACGCGCTGGCGCGGACGCACGATCCGTTCGCTCCGGCGGTCGGTGTGCGACTGAGAACAAATTTTGTGTGAAAAAAAATTTTTAAATAAATAAATATATATTTTTATTTAATATAGTCGATTAAAATAAAATGTTTGCATTTAACTTGTCGGTTTAAATCGATGCGGTTATTGTTCCGCGTTGTGCGCGCGTTGATGGCGTTTATGCGCGCCCGGCACGGACGCGCTGGAGCTCGGACGCACGTCCGTTCGCTCCGGCGGTCGGTGTGCGACTGAGAACAAATTTTGTGAAAAAAAAAAAAAATTTTTAATAAAAATAAATATAAATATATATTTTTATTTAATATAGTCGATTAAAATAAAGTAGTAACTTTGCATTTAACGTGTTTAAATCGGTGGTGTGTTCGCGTTGTGCGCGTTGTGTGCGTTTATGCGCGCGCCCGGCTCGGACGCGCTGGCGGACACGCGTCCGTTCGCTCCGGCGGTCGGTGTGCGACTGGAGCAAATGTTATTGTGAAAAAATTTTTTTAAAATAAAAATAAATATAAATATATATTTTTATTTTAATATAGTCGATTAAAATAAAAATGGCATTTAACGTGTTTAAATCGATGCGATTGTGTGCGCGTTGTGCGCGTTGTGTGCGTTTATGCGCGCGCCCGGCTCCGAGACGCGCTGGCGCTGACGCACGATCCGTTCGCTCCGGCGGTCGGTGAGCGAATGAGGCAGATTCGGTGAAAAAAAAAATTTTTTTTTCTAGTAAAATAAATATATTTTTATTTTAATATAGTCGATTAAAATAAAAATGTGTTTACATTTAGCGTGTTTTAAAATCGATGCGATATTTATATTGATATTATTTTTATGTGTACCATTATATTTATGTATATATATTTATATACATATATTTTATTTTTGTTTCACCATTTCAGAAATGCATGCGTATTGCATGCATGCATGCATTTCATTTTCAGCGCCGAGATTTTAAAAGTTTAAAAGCGCCAAAAACGTATTGCTTCTTACAAGCACTGATGTGCGCGAAATAAACAATCGATTGTTGTTGACGCAGCAAGGTCTGAGTGAGCGAGCGAGCGAGCGAGTTGTATAATGTTACTCGCATAGCTTCTCGCTTGTGGTGTGAGGTTTCAGAAAATGCAAAATTGCAACATATGCATGAAAAAAAAGATTTAAAACGCATCATCAATTTAAGATGCGTTAAATGCATAACATATTTCATACATTTTATTATAATAAATAAATTGTAATATTTATTCACATAACATTTGATATGTTGTTTATATATATAATACTATATACGCAAATTTATAAAATATATTATAAAATATATCGTAATATACGTGAAATATTTATTGTGTTTATATTTAGCCATGTTTATTCGTTTCTTCGCTCATTATTGTGTGTGTGTGTGTGTGTGTGTGTGTGTGCGTGTTTATAAAATATATCGCAATAGGCATTGAAATGTTTTGTTATTATTTGTATTTTTATGTGTATGTTTATGTGTTTTGTTTATTCAAATATTTTGTTCGCACGCATTTGTGCATGCATTTCATTTTGCTTTAATAGTTTTGATTTTTAATTTGTTAAATAACTAAACACGCGATATTTATTAATGTTATTTTATTTTGGCAAAAAATTCTATTCTGAATTTGATCTCATCTCTGCGCACCGACGCTAAAGCCGGTCGAGCGTGGGGTCGAGCGCCTGCACTATCGCAGCGAACGTGGCAACCGCACAACACAAAACAAAACACATCGGTGAAAAAATGCGTTAAATGCCAGTGCATTTTTATTTCATTGTTATATTAAATGAATACTTGTGTATTACCCGATTATTATATTTTATTTTTGCTGGTAAAAAACATATAAATTTATTAGAAAACGGTAATATTAATATGTAAAATAAAATAAGCCGTAAATTTTTGGTTTTGCTTTTCTATGATTTTCTTTTGTTTGCGGCCCTGAAAACAATTTTCTATCCAGGTTTTCTACATTCTTAACGAATGCGTGCGTGCGTTCGCTGCGAAGATCAAAATGCGACTGAAACGTATGGAACCAAAATCTACAGAAATCGTGGCGTTTTCGGTCTGAGAGCACACCAGGGCTCCGCCTTTATATCCGGGGTAGTGCGTTGGAGCAAAGGGGCGCAAATTTTCATTTTTGTATTAAATAGTTTCGTACGTTTTATTTATATTTATTTTATTTAAAATAATTAATAAAATATTTATAAAATATTTATTTATAGATATATTAGAAAATACGACGTAATAATAAGGGTAAAATGTTATCGTCATTATTTTATATTTGTATGTTTATTCGTTTCTTCGCTCATGGTATTATTATTATTATTCTAGTATTGTGCGAGCACAAATTTATAAAATATAATAAAATAGGCGTGAAATGTTTGTTATTGTTGTATTTTTTATGTGGCATGTTTATATGTTTTGTTTATTCAAATATTTTGTTCGCATTTTATTGCATACATTTCATTTAGCTATGGTTTTGGGTGCTAATTTGTTATAGCCTTCGAAAGCACGCGATATTTTGTGTATTATTTTATTTTAACTAAAAAAAAATTCCATTCACAATTTGATCTCATCTGCGCACCGACCGCTAAAATGGGTGACGTCCGGTCAGGCGCTGCTATATTTAACGAACGTGCTTAAACGCACAACACAAAACAAACACATCGATTCAAAAAATGCGTTAAATGCCGGTGCATTTTGGCGCATTAATTATATTAATGAATACTTGTAATATGCCAATTATTATATTTTATTTTTGCTGGTAAAAACATATAGAATTTATTAGAAAACAGTAATAATAAAATAAAATAAATAAGTAATTTTCTGGTTTTGCTTTTTCTGCGGTTTTTAAATTCGCAGCCCTGAAAGAGCAATTTTCTAAGTGATTTTCTATTTTCTACACATTCTTAACGAATGCGTGCGTGCGTTCGCTGCGGTAAACATTCGCGAAAACGTAATAGAACCAAAATCTAAAAATCGTGGCGATTTTCGGTCTGAGCACAGGCTCCGCCCACTTCTATAGGGGTAGTGCGTTAGACAAGGGGCGCAAATTTTTCCCGTTTTTTTTTTGTATTAAATAGTTTCGTACGTTTTATTTATATTTATTTTATTTAAAATAATTTCTAAAATATTTATAAAATGTATTATAGATATGTTAGAAAATGACGTAATAATAAGGGTAAATATTTATCAGTCATTATTTTATATTTTGGCATGTTTTATTCGTTTCTTCGCTCGTTCGTGCGCGCGCGCGCGTGAGTGTGTGTGTGTGTGTGTGTGTGAGAGAGAATGTGTATGCGTGTATGAATCAGAAAATGCCAAATTGCAACATAAGCAAAAAATATTAAAACACATGTAGCGGTACTGAATTATATTGAAATAATTTTCATATTTTGTCATTTCGTTTTAATATTATATATTTTATATTATATAATATTAAAAATATTACTATATTATTAATTATATTATATTATATATATATTTTTTTGTTTATTTTCGCAAAAATATACCTATGCATGTGCATGCATGCATTTTCACATTCACATTTCACATTTCTCTGATACGTTTGGTTTTGGATGGAAAATTTAAGCATGTGTGTTTATTTACATGTGTTTACATTATTGGTGTCGGCCATGATGCATGATTGCGATTGTTGTTGACGCAGCAAAGTCTGATCGAGCGAGCGAGCGAGCGAGCGAGCGAGCGCGCGACCGTGCGCACTGCTTTTTGCTTTTGTTCGATTGTGCAAAATTGCGGAGCGGAAAACGTATAAATACAGGCTACCTATCAGCGGAACGCTGATAGACGAAGACGAAGACAAAGACAAAGACCAAGACTAAGAAACACACATGTATTTTTCAACAATTAATTAAAGAATTATTTTATATTTTCGCGGCGAGTGCGAGTGTGTATATGTATGTTGTATGATATAATATTTTAATAATTAAATATTAATATTTAAACCAGATTTAATTGTACGAGTTGCTCGCCGCGCGTTTTTACGCTTACGCTTACGCTGCGGCGAATATTTAGGTTTTTTAGGTTTTGCATCGAGCGGCAGCGATAGTGGCGCCGCGAACGTGCGGCGGACGTTTAGTGAACTAGCGCGTCAGTCGTGCGGCGCCCGCCGGCCGGAGCACATCGCCGCAGCCATGCAAAACGATCGAATTATTTACAATAATTATTTCAGCTGTGTTATTTCTGCTGCGCCGAATCGCATCGCATCGTGTCATTTTTTTCGCATTTTTTGCGAGTATTATATTTAAAATAATTGTTGCAAAATATTTTATGTTGCCAGCCAATATTATTTAATCCCGAATTATTTGCGTTCAAATAGGCATTTACATTATTAATTTTAACAAATTGCTTGCCGCGCGCATTTTTGTCGTGCGTACGGCGAACATTAGTTTTGTTTTTATGAACGTAAACGCACGTAAACAAACTGCAAGCTGGCGGACGTATCAAATTGCGTTTGCATGCAAAAACATTCCGCCGCTATATTGCGACGACGGCGACGACGGCGACGACGACGACGACGACGATGACGACGTCGTCATCAGCGTGGAAAACAAAGCGTTGTTTGTCCGGCAACGCTTGCACGTAAAACGTTCAACGCGTGTATCGCACGCGTGCATCGTGATCGCAGATGCAAGCGCAACTTTGCGCTCGAATTGCGCGTCTCAGTTTCAACATCGGTACGTGATCGGCACACGGTTAGAGCGAGCGTTAATTGGCAAATCATTTAAACGCATAAGCAGCGCGCTAGCGATAAAAATGTGCATTTTATAACGCGAAACGTTGGCGGATCGAGATCGGCAAAACTGTACCCGTTCGCTTTAATGTTTCGTCGCGCGTCGTGTTTTTATTTAATACTATCGATGCGCATACGTAAAGAAAGCGCGAAAATCGCTCTACACGTGTATGGCAAAATGGTGGGCGGCAAAGATCGACGCTCGCGTGCAAAGGGGCGGCAAAGTAGAGGCGTTGGTACGAAGTTGGATTTTCGAACGTTTCGCAGCCGCATACGATGCTGATGAAAAAACTGTTGACAGTCCGTGTACCAAGGTACCCTCATGCACTGTATTTTGCAGCCAGTCGCAGTTCGTCCGCCGAACAGTTCACATCGATACACTCGACACGCGTTTCTTGCTTTTTCGCAAATATCGTTCGATTTCGCTCGTGTTTAAACAACATAAACATAAACAACATCATGTCTACCGACGTAGCAGCCACCGCATCGGCTACCGCACCCGTCACTGCGTCGCCGGCGGCGAAAAAGGCGCCGAAAAAGACCGCTGCGGCGGCAAGTGCGTCGAAAGTGCCGCGCTCGAAGCCGACGCGCCCGCCAACATCCGAAATGGTGTGCAACGCAATTAAAGCGCTTAAAGAACGTGGTGGTTCATCGCTGCAGGCAATTAAGAAATACATCGCCGCCAACTATAAGGTAGATGCCGAAAAAATCTCGCCGTTTATTCGCAAATACCTAAAGAACGCCGTCACATCCGGCGTGTTGGTGCAAACAAAAGGTAAGGGCGCAAGTGGATCCTTTAAGCTAGCGGCGCCTGCATCTGGCAAAGCAGCCGCCGCCGCCGCTGCCGCCTCCGCGTCGGAGGGGGCCGCGAAGGCAAAAAAAGTTGTGAAAACAAAAAGTGCAACCGTAAAGCGCGCAAAGTCGCCGAAAAAAGCGACCGCCGCCGCCACCACCGCTGCAGCGAAAAAGAAGACCGCCGCCACGACCGCCGAAAAGAAGGTAAAATCGCCGAAAAAAGCACCTGCCGCCACCGTTGAAAAGAAGAAGGCCGGTAAAGCTGCCGCTGCCGCTGCGGTAAAGTCGCCAAAATCGCCGTCAAAAGCGAAAAAATCGTCGACGAAAGGTTCGCCCACTAAAAAACCGAAAGCGCCGAAGCCAAAGAAAACCAAGCCGACAGCGGCCGCCAAAACGACGGCAAAGAAAGCCGCCGCGTCGCCAAAAAAGAAATAAGGTGAATTGTTTACAAAACAGCATAGAAAATGGCCCTTTTCAGGGCCACAAAATCGAAAACATTATAGAAAAAACTATATTTTTTTATTATTATTATTGTTTAAATAAATTTTTAGCTTTTTTGCCAGAAAATATAAAATAAAATATATAAATTGTACGTATGAAATAAAAATATGCCCTGCATTTAAACGCGTGTGGCGTAGCGGTTCGAACGGACGTCCGTTCGCTGCGGCGATCGGTGCGCGAATGAGTTCGAATTCGGAAAAAAATTTTTTTTTTTCTTTTTTTTTTAAATAAAATAAATATAAACATGTATTTCATTTTTGTTTAATATTGTAAATCGATATAAAAATGTGCTTGCATTTAACGTGTTTTAAATCGATGCGATTGTGTTCGCGTTGTGTGCGTTTACGCGCGCTCGGCACGGACGCGCTGGCACTCGGACGCACGTCCGTTCGCTCCGGCGGTCGGTGTGCGACTGAGAACAAATTCTGTAAAAAAAATTTTTTTTTTAAATAAAATAAATATAAATATATATTTTTATTTAATATAGTCGATTAAAATAAAAATGTGTTTGCATTTAACGTGTTTTAAATCGATGCGATTGTGTTCGCGTTGTGTGCGTTTACGCGCGCTCGGCACGGACGCGCTGGCGCTCGGACGCACGTCCGTTCGCTCCGGCGGTCGGTGTGCGACTGAGACAAATTCTGTAAAAAAAATTTTTTTCGTAAAATAAATATCGGCATATATTTTGGCTAATATAGTCGATTAAAATAAAAAGTATTGTTTGCATTTTAACGTGTTTTAAATCGATGCGATTGTGTTCGCGTTGTGTGCGTTTACGCGCGCTCGGCACGGACGCGCTGGCACTCGGACGCACGTCCGTTCGCTCCGGCGGTCGGTGTGCGACTGAGAACAAATTCTGTAAAAAAAATTTTTTTTTTTTTAAATAAAATAAATATAAATATATATTTTTATTTAATATAGTCGATTAAAATAAAAATGTGTTTGCATTTAACGTGTTTTAAATCGATGCGATTGTGTTCGCGTTGTGTGCGTTTACGCGCGCTCGGCACGGACGCGCTGGCGGCATAGGACGCGTCCGTTCGCTCCAGCGGTCGGTGTGCGACTGAGGAACAAATTCTGTAAAAAAAATTTTTTTTTAAATAAAATAAATATAAATATATATTTTTATTTAATATAGTCGATTAAAATAAAAATGTGTTTGCATTTAACGTGTTTTAAATCGATGCGATTGTGTTCGCGTTGTGTGCGTTTACGCGCGCTCGGCACGGACGCGCTGGCACTCGGACGCACGTCCGTTCGCTCCGGCGGTCGGTGTGCGACTGAGAACAAATTCTGTAAAAAAAAATTTTTTTTTTTAAATAAAATAAATATAAATATATATTTTTATTTAATATAGTCGATTAAAATAAAAATGTGTTTGCATTTAACGTGTTTTAAATCGATGCGATTGTGTTCGCGTTGTGTGCGTTTACGCGCGCTCGGCACGGACGCGCTGGCACTCGGACGCACGTCCGTTCGCTCCGGCGGTCGGTGCGACTGAACAAGTTCTGTAAAAAATTTTTTAAATAAAATAAATATAAATATATATTTTTATTTAATATAGGTGATTAAAATAAAAATGTGATTGCATTTAACGTGTTTTAAATCGATACGATTTTTTTGTGGTTCTGAAAAGAACCGGTCATTATTTGTGGGTTATTGTGGTCGTATTGTGCGCTTAAGCGCGTTCGCCACGGATGCGACAGCGAAACCAGCTGGATAATCTTTGGGCATGATGGTTACACGTTTGGCGTGAATAGCGCACAAATTTGTGTCTTCGAAGAGGCAACCAGGTGGTACGCCTCGCTTGCCTCTTGCCAGTGCCGCGGCGGCTGACTCTGAAGCGCAGATCGATCTTGAAATCTTAGGCGATTTCACGCGCGCAAGACGTTGGAACTGGCTTGAAGTTTGCGGATGAGAAGTTCGGTGCTCTTCTGGTAGCGGCGAATTTCTCGGAATGCGACGGTGCCGGGACGGTAACGATGGGGCTTCTTCACACCACCGGTGGCTGGTGCGCTCTTACGCGCCGCCTTCGTCGCCAATTGTTTGCGCGGGCCTTCCCACTCGGTAGATTTGCGAGCGGTTTTGCTTGGTACGAGCCATGATGCACACACACACACACGAACGAACAGACGAACGGTGTTGACGCACTGAAGTCTGGAGCGAGTAACGGAGCGGGCGAAACTTTTTTTTTTTTTTTTTTTTTTTTCCCTCAAGTAAATTCAGTCGATCTCAAACATATAGCTTATGACAGCTTATCTTCTGTTGCGAATTTTGAAAGATTGCACCGCTCTTTCATAGTCTGCTTTCCTAATGGTCGCATTTTAGAAGCGACCTTCCGGATAAAACTCCTTTTCGGAGAGCTCCATATTTTTGTACCATTCTGGCCCTGCCAACTTCCGCCTTTACCGCGGGATCGGTGATGTAGTCGACCTCGGTAAGTCAGATTCGCGGTAATACGGGGGTCGGTGATAATCCGGAGGATTCTTCTAAGAATGCCATAAGGCTTTTCGGCGTCAACTTGGGTCCTCGGCGCACCACCTCACAGCCATACATTAACTGGGCGTACACCGTTGCGCTTTAAGATGGTGATTTTCGTATTGGCGCTCAATGTTCTTGACCACCATACTGAGTTTAGCATGAACGACGTCCCTCAAAGCAAAGCGCTCCTCATCTTCTCGTGGGGCCATTTCTTCCTACTGTCAAACGGCTCCCAGGTAAACCGCGCGACGTTGAATGGGGATAAGTCCGGCCCAAAACGGATCCGCTTTCTACTCGAGTTTACCTTCTTGCCAACTGACGGGATCTCGGTCTTCTTTCTATTAATTGTGAGTCTATTGACCCTACAGTATGCACTGAGCCTCTCTAAAGTGTTCTCCAAATCCCTTCCCGCCACAGCTCCAGGTTTTTGCCGCGACGACTATGGCGTGTCATCCCGCAAACTGGAGCACCGCCAGCTTTCGACGACTTCTCGATCACGTATGGTAGGTCGCCCACCGGGATGTTGAACAGCTTGGCGGTGAAGGACCGCGGGGAGGCCATCTGCAGCTAAATATTTGCCGATCTGTGATTGCCCTTCACGCAGACAAACTGGCGCTGATAGATGATGTACCAGATAATTCTCACGATGTCCCTTGAAGTTGGCCTTCAACATCTTATTCACAAGGGTATTCCCACCCATACCGAGTCTCACGCCTTCTCCAGGTCACGAGGCCGCAGCATCTTCAGCTGGAGCGCATCCGCCTCCTTAGCCAACGTGGCTAGATATTGCCGCCTGATGTACTGCTGAAGATACGCACATAGGCCAGACGCAGGCGATGCATGAACAGCTGTTTGTCTTTACTTGACTCTCGAGAGTCAGCAGCAGTAGAGACTCGTATAACAACGCCAAGATAGGGATTATACTGATTGGCGGTATTTGGCAACACGGTGGATCCTTTCCCTGCTGGGGATAGTGACAGCCTTGGCAGCCCTCCCATTCGCGTGGGTACCAGTCACCCTTGTTGGTAACCGGTTGAAAATCACCACCAACGACATTTACCGCCTTCTCTGGCATCATCTTGATCGCCTTTGGAGGCAAATTGTCGAGTCCAGGAGCCTTTCGCGGCCTCAGCGCTTTAATCGCCGCCTTAACTTGTTCCAAGGTAAAATTAACGGCCTCCCTTGGTTGTAGCGCTGGGATAAGTGGGTCTCTCGATAGGGCAGTCCCCGGCAGCTTGTTCACAAATTGCCCCTTAAAAACTCTCCAGTAATAAGAGCTTTTCGGCGTCTTCAAAATGTAAGACGCCGTCTTCGTCCTGATCGGGGCGTTTGGGGAAGCCCTTACCCTGAGCCTTTTGATGAGCGGCCAGAGGGTTCCCTTTTCCTCGCAATCTTCAAGCGTCTTATCCCATGAGCGTGACGCATGGGCACTTAGCATAGCGCGAACATTGTTTGCCAACTGGTGGTAGGTATTTTTGTCGCAACAAAGACCAGAGCGCCTCCACTTTGTCTTAGCTCTGTTTTTTCGTTGGACAAGCATCCTTTCCTCCGCGTTTAAGCCGAGCGGGTTGGTCGCTGTTTGCCTCCCGGTTTCCGTGACTGAATGGAGCGTTCTCTGCATAAAGTGAGTCAAATGTTCTAGCTGCTCGCTGGCGTCATTAAAAGGGCCCTCACGAAAGCTCGTCATGCGGTATGCATACTTAGGCCAGTTTACAAAATTCTGTCCCTCTCGACAGGTGCGACGGGTACATAGCCAGGTTAGCCGTGACCGGGAAGTGGTCGGATGATAACACATGCCTTGTGACTGGTTTCGACATGTGGACGCGCTTGGTAATGAAGAAGTCGATCACGTCTCCCCTGCGGTTTCCTCCGGGCATAGTTGTCGCATCTTCCGGGAAACGTGCGGTCGCCATCGTCTGAGTGATGATCGCAGCGAGCTCCCTGCCTCGTTTAGTGGATAAGCGGCTTCCCCACTGAGGACTTTTTGCGTTGAAGTCGCCCGCTACGATTATAGCCTCCTGTCTCCCCAGAATATCGACAATGTTACGCGACAGGCAATCCCTGTTCGGAGGTTGGTATATGGAAAAAAGATGAACCGTGTGTGGGCCGATTTTGATCGCGACTCCTACGACCTCTGATAATTTGTCAACCACTATGTTGTCCAGCCTCGCAAAGCAGATGTTTTGACGCACAGCAATTAGGACTCCACCACCTCTTCTACCGCCAGGCCGGTCTCGTCGCTCGATCTGGAACCCCTTTAGTCTAAAATTGTCCGATGGATGCAGGTGTGTCTCCTGGATACACATGATGGCGATATCTTGGTCTTGCATAAACAATTCCAGCTCAAACTTATGCCTAGCAACCCCATTGGCATTCCAGCTGCAAATGTTGAAATTTGTGCGATTATTGTCTGGCATTACGCTGGTTCAGCAATCTGTTAACAATTTTTTCGATTGTGGCTTCAAGAGGCACTGGTTTCAAACTTGGCGGCTGAATGGTTTCTTTTGGTTGTTGTTTAGCGGCCCACTGCGCCAGCACGCGAGTCACAATTTCCTCTATTTTTGATTCCAAGTTTACGTTATCGGTTGCGCTTGCATAAGAGCGGCCCTCTCGGACTTTGCTGTGTTCTATCAGGGTCCGCTGCCTTTTTTCTTTTGCCTCTCTAATGTTTCTGGGGTGTTGAGGGCACTCATAGCTAGAGGCAACATGAATGCCTTGGCAGTTAACACATTTCGGGCTGTCTGACAATTGTTTGGTGCATTCAAACGTCTGGTGGTTAGAGGCACACTTCAGGCACCTAGGGTCGAGCTGACATCGGAAGCTCACATGTCCCCACCGTTGGCACCGAAAACATTGTCGGTGGTCCGGGCTTTTACGCTTTGCCTCTACCTTGACCTGCAGATGGTTAATGTGGCGTAAATTATACAAATCTAACCCCTTTTCGTTTTTGGTCGCATTAATCGTGATAATTGGCAGTTCTCCCTTGCTTTTCGTGGTCATCCGTGCCACCTTAGTAACCGGGAAACCTCGTAGACGGAGATCCTCCTCGATGGACTCAACCGACATCTTGGTAGACACATTTTTAACCACAAATCGCAGCTCTTTCTCTTCGTCCAATTGCCAATTCACGTATTTAATCTTAGCCGCAGTGCAAACACGTATTAGCCTTCGGTATTCGTCCGGTGTATTAGTGAACACCTCAAAACCTTGACGTGCTGCCCGTATTGGCTTCCGCATTTCGATTTCATTCTCAGTCATCAACTTTGAAATAAAGAGTGGGTCGTAATCTTTGTCGAACAATATCATCGGAGGGAATTTCGGCTGCCTAGCAGGCGCGGGCAAAGCCGACGTCGTTGCTACCTCCTCTTCCGGTATGACCACCTGTTCTCCGTCCTCGAGCACGATCTTTTTGAATGTTAGCTTGGAATTCTTCTTCGGCATAGCAGGCTTAGGTGAAACAGACATCTTGCGTTTAGGCTTGCGGCTGTACGCCGTCGCAACGCTCTCCCTGGACTCGACTTCCGAGGAGTTGCGGCTAGTATGGTCGTTTGTATCAATCCCGTTGTCGTTCTCCTCGTTCTCATCTTGGCTTGTGGTCATGGCTTCATACTCATCAACCGAATCCGCGAGCGGTTCAAAAGAGTTGCGGGTCTCTACACCGTCTCCAAACCGACCAGCATCCTGTATTTTCCGTCGTTTATCCCGTTTAGAGCGGGCGGCCTCAAATCGCACGCGATCACGATCGCGTCGGTCCAACATCATCAACCGAGCGTTTTCGTTGGACAAACGCTCGTTCTGATCACTGAGTTGCCTGATTGTAACGGCCATTTCAGCGATTTGGCCCTTCAGACCCACTATCATCTCGATAACATCATGATGCGAACGGCTGTCACCGTCCGAATGGTCCCCCATGCTGAACGCACCGAAGTGGGCTCAACGCGGCGAAAAAATTCTCTCACTGGATATACGATGCACTAACGATGTTCACGCACTGAGTGCCGAGCGAGTAATGCGGGCGAAACGCCGATTTCGTTAATATATACCGCTCACTAGATGGCAGCACCGTACCGCGCGTCGGTCGGAGCAGGGCGGTGGAGGGTGGAGGGGGCGGGCGCATAAATACGTGCGCGCATAAAATTTTCACATCATTCTCATCTACGCGCGCGTAGCGTACACATCGTGTTCGAGTTTTTCCAACCTCAAATCAACATGACTGGTCGCGGCAAGGGAGGCAAAGGGGCTGGGAAAGGTGGCGCCAAGCGTCATCATATAAGGGACTACCGTGACAGCATCCGGGGCATCCGCCAAGCCAGCAATTCGTCGTCGCCCGCCGTGGTGGTGTGAAACGTATTTCTGGCCTCATCTACAGAAAACTCGTGGCGTGCTAAAGGTATTCCTAGAGAATGTCATCCGTGACGCTGTCACGTACACCAGAACACGCAAGCGGAAGACCGTCACCGCCATGGATGTCGTCTACGCACTGAAAGAGACAGGCCACTACGCTGCGTTTCGGCGGTTAAACGCGCCCGTTTCGTTCAGTTTTACCCGTTGACGATGCAACCGATGACAAAAAAACCGGTTCTTTTCAGAACCACAACATTTAATACGTATAGAAAATTAAATACAACAATTATTGTGGGTGTGTGAATAATAAATAATTTTTTTTGAAATTTATTTATATATATAATATTTTATTTTTGTTCTCTTTTTAATATATGTTTTTTCTCTTTTTATTTGCGTATCTTCGTTCTCTTTTTAATGTATGTTCTCTCTCTTTTTATTCGCGTAACTTCGTTCTCTTTTTATTGTATGTTCGCTCTCTTTTTACTTGCGTATCTTCGTTCTTTTTTTAATACATGTTTTTTCTCGTTTTATTTGCGAGCACACAAACACGCGCACGACGCGTATATTTTTACTTCAAAACATATAAAACAAATCTAATTTATTGTATTGTGCACTTTTATTTCAAACATAAAAAATTATAGGTTTATGTGTGTGTGTGTGAGGGCAATTTTTCTATAAATTTATTATTTTGTGGCCCTGAGAAGGGCCGTTTGATATTGATGTCGATATTTAAGGCTTCTTTTCGGTTTTCTTCGGCAAAAGCACGGCTTGAATGTTTGGTAAAACACCACCTTGCGCAATTGTGACGCCCGAGAGCAGCTTGTTTAATTCTTCGTCGTTGCGGATGGCAAGTTGCAAGTGACGTGGGATGATGCGAGTTTTCTTGTTATCTCGGGCAGCGTTACCGGCCAATTCCAGCACTTCAGCGGCCAAGTATTCCATAACGGCGGCGAGGTACACCGGTGCACCGGCACCGACGCGTTCGGCGTAGTTACCTTTACGCAGCAGCCTGTGGATGCGACCCACTGGAAATTGGAGTCCGGCACGCGATGAGCGCGACTTTGACTTGCCCTTCACTTTACCGCCTTTGCCTCTGCCGGACATGGTGATTCGAACGCGAACTTGAGCGAATATACAAACAAACGAACAGACGTGCCGACGACGTGCACGCGACGACGGTCGAACGAGAGTAGGCGCTTGAAGAGATTAGTGGAGGGATATTTGTAGATTTTTTTGCGTGCGCATTACGCCTTATCCCAGCACTGCCAGTATAGAAATTGGGCGGAGCCTCCGCTCTGACCGAAAAAGGCGACTATCCCCTGATATCGGTATAATAACGCTTCAGTCTCGTTTCGTCTCGCGCCGGGCGCCGCACGCACGCACGCACGCACGCATCCGCCATGCCACCGAAAACCAGCGGTAAAGCAGCCAAGAAAGCCGGCAAAGCCCAGAAGAACATTTCCAAGGGCGACAAAAAGAAGAAACGCAAGAGGAAGGAATCGTACGCAATCTACATTTACAAAGTGCTCAAACAAGTGCATCCCGACACCGGTATTCCGAGCAAAGCGATGAGCATCATGAATTCGTTTGTAAACGATATTTTTGAGCGCATCGCCGCCGAAGCGTCGCGTCTGGCGCACTACAACAAACGTTCGACCATCACCAGCCGGGAAATTCAGACCGCTGTGCGACTGTTGTTACCCGGTGAACTCGCTAAGCACGCCGTCAGCGAAGGCACAAAGGCCGTCACCAAATACACCAGCTCCAAGTAAACGACCGCGCACGATGACGTGTTTTTGCCAAAAACAAAAATCGGTTCTTTTCAGAACCACAAAATCGAAAATTTTACGGAAAAAAAAAACACAAAATTTTATATATGAACATTTGTTTTGTAATTGTAAAATATATCGTAATAATGGTAAAATATTATCGTTATTATTTAATATTTGTATGTTTATTCGTTTATTCGTCGATTAAAATAAAAATGTGTTTGCATTTAGCGTGTTTTAAATCGATGCGATTGTGTTCGCGTTGTGCGCGCGTTGTGTGCGTTTATGCGCGCCCGGCACGGACGCGCTGGAGCTCGGACGCACGTCCGTTCGCTCCGGCGGTCGGTGGGCGACTGAGAACAAATTTTGTGAAAAAAATTTTTTTTTTTAAATAAAATAAATATAAATATATATTTTTATTTAATATAGTCGATTAAAATAAAAATGTGCTTGCATTTAACGTGTTTTAAATCGATGCGATTGCGTTCGCGTTGTGTGCGTTTGCCGCCCCGGCTCCGGACGCGCTGGCGCTTGCTGGACGCGTCCGTTCGCTCCGGCGGTCGGTGTGCGACTGAACCAAATTTTGTGAAAAAAATTTTTTTTAAATAAAATAAATATAAATATATATTTTTGGCTAATATGGTCAGTTAAAATAAAAATGTACTTGCATTTAACGTGTTTTAAATCGATGCGATTGCGTTCGCGTTGTGTGTGCGTTTATGCGCGCCAGCTCAGACGCGCTGGCGCGCGGACGCACGTCCGTTCGCTCCGGCGGTCGGTGTGCGACTGAGAACAAATTTTGTGAAAAAAAAATTTTTTTTAAATAAAATAAATATAAATATATATTTTTATTTAATATAGTCGATTAAAATAAAAATGTGTTTGCGTACAACGTGTTTAAATCGGGCGTTTATTGTTCGCGTTGTGCGCGCGTTGTGTGCGTTTATGCGCGCCCGGCACGGACGCGCTGGAACGCGCACGTCCGTTCGCTCCGGCGGTCGGTGTGCGACTGAGAACAAATTTTGTGAAAAGAAAAATTTTTTTTTAACCAAATTAAATATAAATATATATTTTATTTAATATAGTCGATTAAAGTAAAATGTACTTGCATTTAACGTGTTTTAAATCGATGCGATTGCGTTTCGCGTTGTGTGCGTTTATGCGCGCTTCGGCTCGGGACGCGCTGCGCTGGACGCGCGTCCGTTCGCTCCGGCGGTCGGTGACGACTGAGAACAAATTTTGTGAAAAAAAAAATTTTTTTTAAATGAAATAAATATAAATATATATTTTATTTAATATAGTCGATTAAAATAAAAATGTGCTTGCATTTAACGTGTTTTTAAAATCAGTGCGGTGCATTCGCGTTGTGTGCGTTTAGCGCGCCAGCTCAGACAACGCTGGCGCGCGGACTTTTACGTCCGTTCGCTCCGGCGGTCGGTGCGACTGAGAACAAATTTTTGTGAAAAAAAAATTTTTTTTTAAATAAAATAAATATAAATATATATTTTTATTTAATATAGTCGATTAAAATAAAAATGTGTTTTGCATTTTAACGTGTTTTAAATCGATGCGATTGTGTTTCGCGTTGTGCGCTTGCGTTATTGTGCGTTTGTACGCGCCCGGCACGGACGCGCTGGGCTCAATACGTCGTTTCATCCGGCGGTCGGTGTGCGACTGAGAACAAATTTTGTGAAAAAAAAAAAATTTTTTTTTAATAAAATAAATATAAATATATATTTTTATTTAATATAGTCGATTAAAATAAAAATGTGCTTGCATTTAACGTGTTTTAAATCGATGCGATTGTGTGCGCGTTGTGCGCGCGTTGTGTGCGTTTATGCGCGCCCGGCTCGGACGCGCTGGCGCGCGGACGCACGTCCGTTCGCTCCGGCGGTCGGTGTGCGACTGAGAACAAATGTTGTGAAAAAAATTTTTTTTTAAAATAAAATAAATATAAATATATATTTTATTTAATATAGTCGATTAAAATAAAAATGTGCTTGCATTTAACGTGTTTTAAATCGATGCGATTGTGTGCGCGTTGTGCGCGCGTTGTGTGCGTTTATGCGCGCCCGGCTCGGACGCGCTGGCGCGCTGACGCACGTCCGTTCGCTCCGGCGGTCGGTGAGCGAATGAGAACGAATTCGGTGAAAAATTTTCTAAATAAATATAAATATATATTTTTATTTAATATAGTCGATTAAAATAAAAATGTGTTTGCATTTAGCGTGTTTTAAATCGATGCGATATTTATATTGATATTATTTTTTTATATTATTATTATATTTATGTATATCTACTATTTATATACATATATTTATTTTGTTTCATTTTCGAAATGCACATGCGTATTGCATGCATGCATGCATTTCATTTGCTTTGGATTTAAATTTAAAAACTTAAACATGTGTGCTTCTTACAAGCACTGATGTGCGCGAAATAAACAATCGATTGTTGTTGACGCAGCGAGGTCTGAGTGAGCGAGCGAGCGAGCGAGTTGTATAATGTTACTCGCATAGCTTCTCTCGCTTGTGGTGTGAGTTTCAGAAAATGCAAAATTGCAACATATGCATGAAAAAAAGATTTAAACGCATCAATTTAAGATGCGTTAAATGCAAGCATATTTTTCATGCATTTTATTATAATAAATAAATTCGTAATATTTATTCACCTATATTTTATTTGATATAATTTATTTTATATATATAATATTATATATAAATTTATAAAATATATTATAAAATATATCGTAATATGCGTGAAATGTTATTGTTATTATTTTATATTTGTATGTTTATTCGTTTCTTCGCTCGCGTGTGTGTGTGTGTGTGTGTGTGTGTGTGTGTGCGAGCACAAATTTATAAAATATATCGCAATAGGCGTGAAATGTTTGTTATTGTTATTATTTTTTATGTGTATGTTTATGTGTTTTGTTTATTCAAATATTTTGTTCGCATTTTATTGCATGCATTTCATTTGCTTTAATAGTTTTGATTTTTAATTTGTTATAATAACTAAACACGCGATATTTATTAATGTTATTTTATTTTAACTAAAAAAAAAAATTCTATTCTAGAATTTGATCTCATCTGCGCACCGACCGCTAAAATGAATAGACGTCCGGTCGAGCGCCTGCACTATCGCAGCGAACGTGCTTAAACGCACAACACAAAAACAAAACACATCGATTGAAAAAAATGCGTTAAATGCCAGTGCATTTTTATTTCATTTAATTATATTAAATGAATACTTGTGTATTACTTGATTATTATATTTTATTTTTGCTGGTAAAAAACATATAAATTTATTAGAAAACAGTAATATTAATAATAAAATAAAATAAACCGTAAATTTTTTGGTTTTGCTTTTTTTTCTATGATTTTCTTTAAATTTGTAGCCCTGAAAAGAGCAATTTTCTATCCGATTTTCTACACATTCTTAACGAATGCGTGCGTGCGTTCGCTGCGAAGATCAAAATGCGACTGAAAACGTAATAGAACCAAAATCTAGAAATCGTGGCGATTTTCGGTCTGAGCACAGGCTCCGCCCACTTCTATAGGGGTAGTGCGTTAGACAAGGGGCGCAAATTTTTCCCGTTTTTTTTTGTATTAAATAGTTTCGTACGTTTTATTTATATTTATTTTATTTAAAATAATTAATAAAATATTTATAAAATATTTATTTATAGATATATTAGAAAATACGACGTAATAATAAGGGTAAAATGTTATCGTCATTATTTTATATTTGTATGTTTATTCGTTTCTTCGCTCGCGCGTGTGTGTGTGTGTGTGCGAGCACAAATTTATAAAATATATCGCAATAGGCGTGAAATGTTTGTTATTGTTATTATTTTTTATGTGTATGTTTATGTGTTTTGTTTATTCAAATATTTTGTTCGCATTTTATTGCATGCATTTCATTTGCTTTAATAGTTTTGATTTTTAATTTGTTATAATAACTAAACACGCGATATTTATTAATGTTATTTTATTTTAACTAAAAAAAAAAAATTCCATTCTAGAATTTGATCTCATCTGCGCACCGACCGCTAAAATAAATAGACGTCCGGTCGAGCGCCTGCACTATCGCAGCGAACGTGCTTAAACGCACAACACAAAAACAAAACACATCGATTCAAAAAAATGCGTTAAATGCCAGTGCATTTTTATTTCATTTAATTATATTAAATGAATACTTGTGTATTACTTGATTATTATATTTTATTTTTGCTGGTAAAAACATATAAATTTATTAGAAAACAGTAATATTAATAATAAAATAAAATAAACCGTGAATTTTCTGGTTTTGCTTTTTTTTTTCTATGATTTTTTTAAAATTCGTAGCCCTGAAAAGAGCAATTTTCTAAGTGATTTTCTATTTTCTACACATTCTTAACGAATGCGTGCGTGCGTTCGCTGCGAAGATCAAAATGCGACTGAAAACGTAATAGAACCAAAATCTAAAAATCGTGGCGATTTTCGGTCTGAGCACAGGCTCCGCCCACTTCTATAGGGGTAGTGCGTTAGACAAGGGGCGCAAATTTTTCCCGTTTTTTTTTTTTTGTATTAAATAGTTTCGTACGTTTTATTTATATTTATTTTATTTAAAATAATTTATAAAATATTTATAAAATATTTATTTATAGATATATTAGAAAATACGACGTAATAATAAGGGTAAAATGTTATCGTCATTTATTTTATATTTGTATATTTGTCCTTCGTTTCTTCGCTCGTTCGTGCGCTTGCTATTGAGTGTGTGTATTATTGTGTGTGGAGAGAGAGAATGTGTATGCGTGTATGAATCAGAAAATGCAAATTGCAACATAAGCAAAATATTAAAAACACGTAGTAGTGAATTTTGGGGTTATATTTGAAATAATTTTCCTTATTTTTTGTCATTTCACGTTTTAATATTATATATTTTATATATTATATAATATTAAAAATATTATATATTATTAATTATATTATATTATATATATATTTTTTTTTTCGTTTCATTTTCATAATGCCTATGCGTATTGCATGCATGCATTTCACATTTTACATTCCACATTTCACATTTCTCTGATACGTTTTGTTTTGGATGGAAAATTAAAGCATGTGTGTTTATTTACATGTGTTTACATTATTGGTGTCGGCCATGATGCATGATTGCGATTGTTGTTGACGCAGCAAAGTCTGATCGAGCGAGCGAGCGAGCGAGCGAGCGCGCGACCGTGCGCACTGCTTTTTGCTTTTGTTCGATTGTGCAAAATTGCGGAGCGGAAAACGTATAAATACAGGCTACCTATCAGCGGAACGCTGATGGGCAAGGGCAAAGACAAGAGACAAAAGGAATAGGGCGAAGCGCGTATTTTTCAACAATTAATTAAAGAATTATTTTATATTTTCGCGGCGAGTGCGAGTGTGTATATGTATGTTGTATGATATAATATTTTAATAATTAAATATTAATATTTAAACCAGATTTAATTGTACGAGTTGCTCGCCGCGCGTTTTTACGCTTACGCTTACGCTGCGGCGAATATTTAGGTTTTTTAGGTTTTGCATCGAGCGGCAGCGATAGTGGCGCCGCGAACGTGCGGCGGACGTTTAGTGAACTAGCGCGTCAGTCGTGCGGCGCCCGCCGGCCGGAGCACATCGCCGCAGCCATGCAAAACGATCGAATTATTTACAATAATTATTTCAGCTGTGTTATTTCTGCTGCGCCGAATCGCATCGCATCGTGTCATTTTTTTCGCATTTTTTTGCGAGTATTATATTTAAAATAATTGTTGCAAAATATTTTATGTTGCCAGCCAATATTATTTAATCCCGAATTATTTGCGTTCAAATAGGCATTTACATTATTAATTTTAACAAATTGCTTGCCGCGCGCATTTTTGTCGTGCGTACGGCGAACATTAGTTTTGTTTTTATGAACGTAAACGCACGTAAACAAACTGCAAGCTGGCGGACGTATCAAATTGCGTTTGCATGCAAAAACATTCCGCCGCTATATTGCGACGACGGCGACGACGGCGACGACGACGACGACGACGATGACGACGTCGTCATCAGCGTGGAAAACAAAGCGTTGTTTGTCCGGCAACGCTTGCACGTAAAACGTTCAACGCGTGTATCGCACGCGTGCATCGTGATCGCAGATGCAAGCGCAACTTTGCGCTCGAATTGCGCGTCTCAGTTTCAACATCGGTACGTGATCGGCACACGGTTAGAGAGAGCGTTAATTGGCAAATCATTTAAACGCATAAGCAGCGCGCTAGCGATAAAAATGTGCATTTTATAACGCGAAACGTTGGCGGATCGAGATCGGCAAAACTGTACCCGTTCGCTTTAATGTTTCGTCGCGCGTCGTGTTTTTATTTAATACTATCGATGCGCATACGTAAAGAAAGCGCGAAAATCGCTCTACACGCGTATGGCAAAATGGTGGGCGGCAAAGATCGACGCTCGCGTGCAAAGGGGCGGCAAAGTAGAGGCGTTGGTACGAAGTTGGATTTTCGAACGTTTCGCAGCCGCATACGATGCTGATGAAAAAACTGTTGACAGTCCGTGTACCAAGGTACCCTCATGCACTGTATTTTGCAGCCAGTCGCAGTTCGTCCGCCGAACAGTTCACATCGATACACTCGACACGCGTTTCTTGCTTTTTCGCAAATATCGTTCGATTTCGCTCGTGTTTAAACAACATAAACATAAACAACATCATGTCTACCGACGTAGCAGCCACCGCATCGGCTACCGCACCCGTCACTGCGTCGCCGGCGGCGAAAAAGGCGCCGAAAAAGACCGCTGCGGCGGCAAGTGCGTCGAAAGTGCCGCGCTCGAAGCCGACGCGCCCGCCAACATCCGAAATGGTGTGCAACGCAATTAAAGCGCTTAAAGAACGTGGTGGTTCATCGCTGCAGGCAATTAAGAAATACATCGCCGCCAACTATAAGGTAGATGCCGAAAAAATCTCGCCGTTTATTCGCAAATACCTAAAGAACGCCGTCACATCCGGCGTGTTGGTGCAAACAAAAGGTAAGGGCGCAAGTGGATCCTTTAAGCTAGCGGCGCCTGCATCTGGCAAAGCAGCCGCCGCCGCCGCTGCCGCCTCCGCGTCGGAGGGGGCCGCGAAGGCAAAAAAAGTTGTGAAAACAAAAAGTGCAACCGTAAAGCGCGCAAAGTCGCCGAAAAAAGCGACCGCCGCCGCCACCACCGCTGCAGCGAAAAAGAAGACCGCCGCCACGACCGCCGAAAAGAAGGTAAAATCGCCGAAAAAAGCACCTGCCGCCACCGTTGAAAAGAAGAAGGCCGGTAAAGCTGCCGCTGCCGCTGCGGTAAAGTCGCCAAAATCGCCGTCAAAAGCGAAAAAATCGTCGACGAAAGGTTCGCCCACTAAAAAACCGAAAGCGCCGAAGCCAAAGAAAACCAAGCCGACAGCGGCCGCCAAAACGACGGCAAAGAAAGCCGCCGCGTCGCCAAAAAAGAAATAAGGTGAATTGTTTACAAAACAGCATAGAAAATGGCCCTTTTCAGGGCCACAAAATCGAAAACATTATAGAAAAAACTATATTTTTTTATTATTATTATTGTTTAAATAAATTTTTAGCTTTTTTGCCAGAAAATATAAAATAAAATATATAAATTGTACGTATGAAATAAAAATATGCCCTGCATTTAAACGCGTGTGGCGTAGCGGTTCGAACGGACGTCCGTTCGCTGCGGCGATCGGTGCGCGAATGAGTTCGAACACCCGCAGCGCAATTTTTTTTCTTTTTTAATAAAAATAAATATAAATATATATTTTTATTTAATATGTCGGACAAAATGTGCTTGCATTTAACGTATTTTAAATCGACGCGATTGTGTGCGCGTTGTGCGCGCGTTGTGTGCGTTTATGCGCGCCCGGCACGGACGCGCTGGCGCTCGGACGCACGTCCGTTCGCTCCGGCGGTCGGTGTGCGACTGAGAACAAATTCTGTGAAAAATTTTTTTTTTTTTTAAATGCACAATATAAATATATATTTTTTATTTAATATAGTCGATTAAAATGCAAAATGTGCTTTGCATTTTAACGTGGCGAATCGATGCGATTGCGTTCGCGTGTTGTAAGTGTTTATGCGCGCCCGGCTCGGACGCGCTGGTTTTTCCGGACGCACGTCCGTTCGCTCCGGCGGTCGGTGTGCGATCGGAGAACAACAAATTTTGTGAAAAATTTTTTTTTTTAAATAAAATAAATATAAATATATATTTTATTTAATATAGTCGATTAAAATAAAATGTGCTTGCATTTAACGTGTTTTAAATCGATGCGCATTGTGTTCGCGTTGCGTTTATGCGCGCCCGGCCTTCGGACGCGCGGCGTTCGGACGCACGTCCGTTCCGCCCGCGGTCGTGGTGCGCGACTGGAGAACAAATTTGTGAAAAATTTTTTTTAAATAAAATAAATATAAATATATATTTTATTTATCATAGTCGATAAAAATAAAAAAAATGTGCTTGCATTTAACGTGTTTTAAATCGATGCGATTGTGGTTGCGTTGTGCGCGCGTTGTGCTTACGTGCGCGCCCGGCACGGACGTGCGTTGAGCTCGGACGCACGTCCGTTCGCTCCGGCGGTCGGTGTGCGACTGAGAACAAATTTTGTGAAAAAATTTTTTTAAATAAAATAAATATAAATATATATTTTTATTTAATATAGTCGTGATTAAAATAAAAATGTGCTTTGCATTTAACGTGTTTCTAAATCCATGCGACAGTCGCGTTGGGGTGTGCTTACGCGTTTCGGCACGGGACGCGTTGGCGCTCGGACGCACGCTGCCCGTTCGCTCCGGCGGTCGGTGTGCGACTGAGAACACTTTTGCAGGAAAAAAAAAATTTTTTTTTTTTAAATAAAATATAAATATATATTTTTATTTAATAAGTCGATTAAAATGTCGTGTTTGCATTTAACGTTTTAAACTTTCACGCGATTGTGTTCGCGTTGTGTGCGTTTTTTACGCGCGCTCGGCACGGACGCGTTGGCGCCGGACGCACGTCCGTTCGCTCCGGCGGTCGGTGTGCGACTGAGAACACCCCGTGAAAAAATTTTTTTTTTTTTTTTTTTTAATAAAATAAATATAAATATATATTTATTTAATATAGTCGATTAAAATAAAAATGCGCTCGCGCATTTAACGTGTTTTAAATCGACGCGATTGTGTTCGCGTTGTGCGTGCGCTCGCCGCTGGCACGGACGCGTTGGCGCTCGGGACGCACGCCGTTCGCTCCGGCGGCTGGTGCGCGACTGAGAACAAATTTTGTGAAAAAAAAAAATTTTTTTTTTTTTTTTAATAAAATAAATATAAAATATATTTTTATTTAATATAAGCCGATTAAAAATAAAATGTGCTTGCATTTAACGTGTTTTAAATCGATGCGATTGTGTTTGCGTTGTGCGCGTTGCGCGCGTGTGCTGTGCGTTTAAGCGCGCTTCCGGCACGGACGCGCTGGAGCTCGGGACGCATGTCTGCTCGCTCCGGCGGTGGTCGGTGTGCGACGGAGAACAAATTTTTGTGAAAAATTTTTTTTTTAAATAAAAATAAATATAAATATGTTATTTTTATTTACTGGCAAATGATTAAAAATAAAAAATGTGTTTGCATTTAACGTGTTTTAAATCGATGCGATTGTGTTCGCGGTGCGTTTACGCGCGTTTCGCTCGGACGCGTTGAGTGCTCGGACGCACGTCCGCGCCCGTCTGGCGGTCGGTGTGCGACTGAGACCACCCTGTGAAATTTTTTAAATAAAAATAAATATAAAATATATATTTTTATTTAATATAGGTGTGATTAAAATAAAAAATGTGTTTGCATTTAACGTGTTTTAAATCGATACGATTTTTTTGTGGTTCTGAAAAGAACCGGTCATTATTTGTGGGTTATTGTGGTCGTATTGTGCGCTTAAGCGCGTTCGCCACGGATGCGACGAGCCAGCTGGATGTCTTTGGGCATGATGGTTACACGTTTGGCGTGAATGGCGCACAAATTTGTGTCTTCGAAGAGGCCAACCAGGTACGCCTCGCTTGCCTCTTGTAGTGCCATAACGGCCGAGCTCTGGAAGCGCAGATCAGTCTTGAAATCTTGGGCGATTTCACGCACAAGACGTTGGAACGGCAGTTTGCGGATGAGAAGTTCGGTGCTCTTCTGGTAGCGGCGAATTTCTCGGAGTGCGACGGTGCCGGGACGGTAACGATGGGGCTTCTTCACACCACCGGTGGCTGGTGCACTCTTACGCGCCGCCTTCGTCGCCAATTGTTTGCGCGGAGCCTTCCCTCCGGTAGATTTGCGAGCGGTTTGCTTGGTACGAGCCATGATGCACACACACACACACGAACGAACGAACGAACGATGTTGACGCACTGAAGTCTGAGCGAGTAATGAGCGGGCGAAACGCCGATTTCGTTAATATATACCGCTCACTAGATGGCAGCACCGTACCGCGCGTCGGTCGGAGCAGGGCGGTGGAGGGTGGAGGGGGCGGGCGCATAAATACGTGCGCGCATAAAATTTTCACATCATTCTCATCTACGCGCGCGTAGCGTACACATCGTGTTCGAGTTTTTCCAACCTCAAATCAACATGACTGGTCGCGGCAAGGGAGGCAAAGGGCTGGGAAAAGGTGGCGCCAAGCGTCATCGCAAAGTTCTCCGTGACAACATCCAGGGCATCACCAAGCCAGCAATTCGTCGTCTCGCCCGCCGTGGTGGTGTGAAACGTATTTCTGGCCTCATCTACGAAGAAACTCGTGGCGTGCTAAAGGTATTCCTAGAGAATGTCATCCGTGACGCTGTCACGTACACCGAACACGCCAAGCGGAAGACCGTCACCGCCATGGATGTCGTCTACGCACTGAAAAGGCAAGGCCGCACGCTGTACGGTTTCGGCGGTTAAACGCGCCCGTTTCGTTCAGTTTTACCCGTTGACGATGCAACCGATGACAAAAAAACCGGTTCTTTTCAGAACCACAACATTTAATACGTATAGAAAATTAAATACAACAATTATTGTGGGTGTGTGAATAATAAATATTTTTTTTGAAATTTATTTATATATATAATATTTTATTTTTGTTCTCTTTTTAATATATGTTTTTCGTTTCATTTTTGTGTATCTTTGTTTTTTTAATACCGTTTTTCTTTATTTGCGTATCTGTTCTCTTTTAATGTATGTTTTTATTCGCGTATCTTCGTTCTCTTTATTGTGGCTGTTCGCTCTCTTTACTTGCGTACCTTCGTTCTTTTAATGCATGTTTTTTTCTCGTTTATTTATGAAAGACACAAACACGCGCACGACGCGTATATTTTTACTTCAAAACATATAAAACAAATCTAATTTATTGTATTGTGCACTTTTATTTCAAACATAAAAAATTATAGGTTTGCGTGTGCGAGGGCAATTTCTATAAATTGAGCGATTTTGTGGCCCTGAGAAGGGCTGTTTGATATTGATGTCGATATTTAAGGCTTCTTTCGGTTTTCTTCGGCAAAAGCATCGGCTTAAATGGCCGGTGTTCACCACCTGGCAATTGTGACGCCTGAGAGCAGCTTGTTTTAATTTTTCGTCGTTGCGGATGGCAAGTTGCAAGTGACGTGGATGATGCGCGTATTTTCTTGTTGTCTCGGCAGCGTTACCGGCCAATTCCAGCACTTCCAGCGGCCGCACCTATAACGGCGGCGAGGTACGGGTGCACTGGCACCGACGCGTTCGGCGTAGTTACCTTTACGCAGCAGCCTGTGGATGCGACCCACTGGAAATTGGAGTCCGGCACGCGATGAGCGCGACTTTGACTTGCCCTTCACTTTACCGCCTTTGCCTCTGCCGGACATGGTGATTCGAACGCGAACTTGAGCGAATATACAAACAAACGAACAGACGTGCCGACGACGTGCACGCGACGACGGTCGAACGAGAAATGAGCGCTTGAAGGTGGTGGAGGGGATATTTGTAGATTTTTTTTGCCGTGCGCGTGCCTTGTCTAACCCACTGCCAGTATAGAAGTGGGCGGAGCCTCCGCTCTGACCGAAAAAGGCGACTATCCCCTGATATCGGTATAATAACGCTTCAGTCTCGATCGAACCTTCGAACAGAGAACATCAACTACAACAACATGTCGCAACGCGATACCAACCAACAGCCCTCAACTGCCTACCCGATGACGACCACCGCAAACGAAATTGACCTCGCAACGCTAATAAAGCAACTTCGTGAAGAAAATGTTTTTCTTAAAACAAAAATTACACAATTGGAACATACCATGGCTGTCAATGAGAAAATCTACGACAAGTACCTACGGCAAGACAAAAAAAATAACTACAAATATTCTCTTTCTGTTAATAATAGATACGCCCAGCTGCCGATGGATGACGACGACGACGACGACTTCCACGGCGCAGAAGAACAGCCCCTACCCGCAGATGACGACTCCGACGAGCCATTCGAGGAGGTAAAGAACAAAAGAAGGAAGCGAAACAACAGCAACCAGGGAGAAAAACGGACCTCGCCAACG